ACCAAAAAACATGATTGTCAAACTATTAGGTATAATGTGTAAAAAAATATATATTAATTCTTTCAGGGAGATCATCTAGGGGGAAAACGCCCAAATACCGTTCAGATTATAGACTTATTCTTTATTCTATAGTTCAATAACAGAATAAATTAAATTATTTATTTATTCTGTGGTATATTCATTGTCTATTTTAAACTTAGTGGTGCCGTGTAGTTAGAAGAAATAGTGTACAAATTCGAACTGTGAGCAAAAATTGATATAATATAACCCATTAAAATAATCTTCATTTAGGTAGGCAGGTAATAAATTTAAGTCGATAAAAATATTATTGTAAGAAATTAGGTTCATAAATTTAGGTATAGGCCATTATTAATGATTCACACCGTGGTTTCTACCGAACCGCAGAATTCTGGAACAAAATAATGTACTATGTCGTATACTCGTATGTACATATTAAAATATAGTATTTAATGTAAATAATATAATCTATAGGTTCTATTGTAATAGCAACACGAAGAGGATGTAAAAAATGTAAAGAAGAGAAAATGTACTAAAGTATTTGGCTTTAGTTGGAAATAGCTAGATATCAGGGCTTTAACATTTAATTGAAAAATATAAAATGTATTTGTCCACTTTTTGAATTATTTACTTTTTTATTTGATGTATTTAAATATTTTCAGAATGGATGTAGGTATTTGTATCTGTATTTAAAAATTAAAAATAATGATGAAACAACTGAAATTTGGTAAGTCACATCCAATTTCATGCACAATCGTACTCCGCCGGTATTGGCAAATAACATTTTGAGTAGGTATAGCCGTATAGGTACGTCATATTTTTTAAAACATGTATCTCAAATTTTTTTTCACTGAGCTAGAATATCAGTCAATAAAATATATACTTTTGTTTCATAACTATTGTTTGGATACTTAGTACATTCATCGTTAAGTACAGAAACCAAAATACAATATTACAATTTAAAATATAATTTAAAAATAATTAAATAATAATATGATGCTTATTCATGCTAAATTATTTTTTGTCCAAAATTTTTTATTAAATTACTTATTACTCATAAGTAATAAGAAATAATTATATAATATTGATGGAAACATTAGGTACTATAACCTATATGCCTATTATGTAGTCACCACTTACTAGGTTGATATTCAGAATAGGTATGGCAAAGTCTGCCTGTTTTCAAACGAGCTTTTTAAACTTTCTATTATTTTTATTTTAGGTAGGTACATATTATTACCGATAGATACTATTTTAGAATTATTTTTCCTCATAATTTAGCCATAAATCAGTAATAGAACTATGTTGATAAAATCAATCAACACAATATAATATATTAAAAATACCTAATAATTGGTATTTTCAATTAACAAGTGTAGTTTTGGTGCTTTTTAAGACACTTCTTATCTTCCATAGTTGTTCGAACATCGGAACAACTTCGCGTCGCGCCGATGTTATCGGCGGGTGCTATCGTGCCGTCGGCGTCGAAGTTCACCGAGCACCCTACCCCTCCTACATCGGCAGACAACTCGTCGCGAGCTAAGACAGAGTCGCCGGCCGGTGTTGTCTGTTTTCCGCGGTTGAGACTGACGGACCATCTCCTCAGCTCCCGCCTGTTACGCCAGTGTGCTTGGTTTGGTCCTTTTGGCCAACTTGTTTTGTTTTACTATTATAATTGCTACCACGTGCCACCTGGTGATCGGTCGCAGGATATCTTGTATATATACAAATAGTATACATATATACTAGTACGTATCACTCTCTGCGGAGATCGCACGGTCGTGTACCGCGTGCGCTGTGCTGGAGCCACGGTCACTCAAACACATATTTCGCCATCAGCCCTGGAGCTTCCTGTCCCGTGACCTGTCTGCCTGGGAAGTGTACCACCTGTTGCCGTCACCTATTGCCATTCAGTCTGGTTGGATACTTGGATATTATAGCTCGTCGGAGTGGAGACGTGCGAATGTCGCTGTCAGCCGTCAGGTCGTGACATTGATTGGTATTCAATTAATCATTGTAACTATATATTTATATTTTGCCTGCTCGACCATATTGGTCTGAAATTGTATTATTATTATTGTGTATTATTCAGTATTCTTAAATCTATATATTGGGGCGCCCGCTAGGTAGAGCTTTTTTGTGTATTATATATAATCACGCAACGACGTTGATATATTATTATTATTATATTTGTATGAGTGTACACACACATACGTTGTTAATTGTATTTATAAATATTGTGTATTCATTTGGTGACCCGAATCCCGAACGCCGCAAGTCGTTATAGCCAACCGCCGAATTTGTAGGAGCTATATCGGCGATCAACAATAGTATTAATTGAACACTGTTTCTTTTAACCATCACTGTTTAAATTACATATTTCAAAAAAATGGAACCTACATTTTATAAAAGTGTACCAAACAAAACTATTTATTTGTTTTCACTCTACCCAAACAATACTTTTTCCGAAAAATTAAAATATTATAAAATATTTAGTTATTTAACAACTAAAGATAGAAAAACAAAGTAGATTCAAAATGATTAATTAATGAAAAAATATGCCGTAGGTAATGAATATTGGTATTTAGTACTTACCTATGGCAATAACAGACAAAGTTAACATGTAAAATGATAAGCTTTTAATTAAGATTTGTTTAATATATTACATGAAGTACATTTGTCTATTGGTCACAATGGTAGAAATCACACTGAATACAAACAAATTTAAAATATAACCCAGGAAACAATAATTTTATATTTAAATTAAGATTTGAAGTTAATATCTAATAGTTCATTGAAAATTATGATCTAATTATTATCTAATATCGAATTATTTTTTAAGAAGTGAATTGAAGATCAGAATATGTCAAATCCATTTCATCGATAAACTCATCCAACTGGAGAGTGGAGATAACAAATTTGTATGTGTCAATCAACTATCAAGTCACCAAGATCATATTTTAACAAAGTGTGTCATACTTAGTCACTTAAGACTCTAAGACATAAAAGAGCTTAGGCAGTTGCTAATATATTAGGTATTGAATATATTATTTACCTTTTTCAAGTGCCTATCTGATGTTAGTTTACACTTTTCAGTGATACTGCAGGTATGTATTTGTTTATGAAATTATACTTAATACGTTGCCTTCATTTAATCTTCTATTAAATAAATGTATGTTTATAATATTTTACGAAGCAACATATTATCTATATGAGCAAACTTATAATTCATTGAGGTACCTTAAAATAATATTTAAAATTTAAAATTGGAAGCTAGCTTATACTTTACACTTTATAGTTATCACTTATCAATTAAAAAAGATATAATGGGTTTTAATTATACCATTATACCTAACTAAATTGAATTTTTAGCTTTTATCGCATTGTTAAGCTATAAAGCAAAAAACAATTATGAGTTTTTAATCTATCAAAATACCAAATAATATAAAAAAATTATAAAAAAATATACAATACTTTTGCAGTGCTGGGCACTACTTGGCATTTTGAGTAGGTACTTATAAAATCAATTCAAAGATTACACCAAATTATACAATATTTTGACTGTAATAATACATTATATTTTACTTTACACAATTAACAATTAGGTAGGCCACTTTTCAACTTAATGATGCAAATTTGTTTGTCTCTAATATTTGTTAATTGTCCATTCTTACGATAGTAGATGATCATTGCTTTTACTATAAATTTAGAGGTGTACATAATAAATGAAATATCTGTATTAATATCTATATAATATGTCTGTAATAATAAATATAAACATTTTTACAAGTCACTCTTATTAAAGGTTGATTAATTAAATCAATGATAAACTAGGTAGTTACTATTGGCACATTCTGGATTAAATTTATGGGGTTGCTATATTTATGTCGACTAATGTGGCTTCATGAGAAAATTCATGAGTACGCCATCATAAGAATAACTTTTTAAAGCTCCTGCAAAATACTTAATTTTTTTTATTGAAACAACCTCATCAACTAACAAAAATGAAGGTATAATGATTCAATTTTAAAAATTTAAAAATTTTTGATTTGGTAAAAAAGTTTATGTTGCATTGGTCATATTATATTCAACATCGTTAATAGTCTACACCCATCATACATTTACCTAAATTAAAAAGGGCTCTGATCAATGCAAAATAAATTCAAACATTTTTTAATCGGATCATTGAAAGTACTTACAATTTAGTCAAGCTTATAGCTAAATTATTACATTTTACACACTCTAAGAGAGGTTTATTATAATATTAGCAGATCAACAAAATTTCAAAATGATTTTTAATATATAAATAACTTCATAATTAATTATGAGAACAAAATCACAGTAATTTAGTAAGCAAACTTCTCCAGTAATACACCTTCTTGTTTAAAAAAAAATAGTAAACAATGAATGAATATAAAACCTTTATTTAATTGAACACACATAAAAAATTAAAAATGATTAAAATAATACTTTGATCGCAGTTCACAAGGTACGACCTTAACATCCACTTAGGAGACAAATTCCACTGGTCGTCCTTATAATGGAGTTTTGTTACAATTGACAATGATTATTTTGTGGCCTGTTCTAAACAGATAACTTGCTTTACAATTCTTAAATATCTATTATGGAATATCTATGACTGTGTAATACAAAAATACACTTAATTAAATACATTTAAATCATTATGATTAATAAAATATAATTTATAAGAAAATGGTTTACACCTATGTAGGGTATTTAGTTATAAAATCTTAAATACAGAAATGTCAAAAAATTATAAAATATGCAAAATTATTGAAGGTTATAAAAGAAAATGGCTTATATGTTAGGTACTTTGTCATAAAGCATATTTTGTTTTTTAAAACTTAAATCATCATCATTAATTATTATAATTAATTATGAGATATAATACAATAATGAGCATATTTTTATTGAAAATAATTTCAATTTAATTATTAATTATTGTATTAAAATAATGTTACTTAATCGGTATTACGGAAAAGATAATTTGGGCACATTAAATAGTTGGAAAACTCTGTTAAATCAGTAACACCTCTTACTTCCTTTTCTAACAATGGAACTTTAGTAACATGGATATCAAAATACAGATCATGTATCTAAAACAAAAGATAATAACAATAAATTATTTATGAAATTATTGTATTTATTATATTATATACTTACTTGTGTTAAATAGGTGCACTGTAATTTCTTTCTTCCACAACACATTTTACATTTGGGATTCGAAACTCCATTGGTCGTGCATAATTGATTAACAACAATATTATGGGTGTCAATTCCAAGTTTGTATAATTCTTGGAAAAGCCTTTCCGTTTCATACAATGACAAAAATTCAGCAATGCATACACCAATAAATGTGGTTTTATCCTAAAACAAATAGCATGAAATTTATTTTGAGGGTTTTAAAAATATTTAACAACTCCTTACTCGATTTTTGAATTGTTGATTAACAGTTTTAATGGTATCCAACAATTCTTCAATTTTTTGAGCAATATCATCTAGATTAATACCAGGTCCCAAAAGCATACTTAATCGATTTAGGTAAGGACTCATTCTTTCTTTAAATTCCAAAATTTTTCCTAAGGCTTTTTCCATCATCAAAGGGAATGTTAGCAGTCTTAGAGTATGTCCTGTAGGAGCTGTGTCAAATACAACCACCGAAAAATCCATACTCTTGACCAACCTAAAATCACACAAATATTGAAATATAATGGGTATGCTGTTTTAATAATTTACCACTACTCTAAAGTACAAATATACAATACAATTAAAAAAAATAATAATTTTATTTAGAATTCAAAAAATACTATATTCAAAAATCCATCCTGAGTATAACCAATTGTACACAAAAAAAGTTAATATTTTGTTTGAATCAGTTGTGATTGCTTATCGTAATCAGGGCTCTGGACTTATAGCACCTTAAATCATTAAAATAAGCGCTCAAAAAAGAGCTTAAAAAAAAAATTATGAGCACTCAAATAAGCATTTGAAAAACTTGAATTTGAGCAAAATTTTAATTAAAAAAATTGATTGAAACAAAATGATTAAGAAAAATGTTTAACTAAAAAATCAAAAAATATCAAAATAAATCTTGACAAATTTATCAAAACATTATTTGTATTTATCACACCTGTACGCCACGACGGTCAAATAATATTATTTTTATAAACTAATGAACATGAACTCAATTATATTAATTCCCCAAAATCCAGTTATATTTTGAGCCCTGGAATTTTTTTTTTAATACTGCCACGATACCGCGGATGACAGACTATGCAACAACATAGATAAAATAAAAATTATTTTTAATTTATAATCTATCATAAACAACATTGCTGGGAAACCTATGGTTGAAAATAATAAAGCTTTTTTAGAGCATATTAATTCAAAAATGTTTTAGTTTTTATGCTATATTTTATAGTTTTACATTTATATCATATTTAAAAATGTTATGCATATTTCAGTATTTTATAAAAAAAAATTATAAAAAACATTAATTTATATAAGATTTTATGACTGATTAGCTTAAGTGACTTTTCATACTTTTCATGTACACACATTCTACTTATTTTGATAAAAACCATTGTCCCAAAGGGGAGATACGATATTAGTTTCAAAGTAAACACTTATCCTACATTTGTTAATATTAAAATAAATAAATCATTTGGAAATACAATGATGTTATAACTGAATTCATAATTATATAATATTAAATAGGCACTATTATTGATTTCAGGAGTGCTCCTAACATATTTTTTTTGTACTTATTTGAATTTTTTGATGCATAACCTGGCATACACAAATCTTATGGTGTATTAATGTGTCATTGCATTAATCAAAAAAATTGTGCAACTAATGTTGTATTTGAATATTTGATAAAACATTATTTTCTATTCAGATACTTGGTTCTCAGTGATAAGGCTTTAAAAAGTCTAATAAGAATTTTATTTGGCTTGTTGTTTTATATTTAAAAATTTACGATTTCCTCTATTGTAATAACACAATATATTATGTCTCAAACATAATTAAAAGTAACATAAAATGTTATAATATTGATGTTTATAATTATTATATTAGTGTAAAATATATTGAATGTTTGCAATGGAATATACAGGAGTAAGGATCTAAGGTCTTAATGGTCTCCACTGGGAATTGTCTGGGATTTCTTCCTTCTACAAATAAAATGTTTACCATCATAATCAATATATAGAATAGATTTGTTGTTAATCATTTTTAATAGATATAAATCTTAGTTTCAGTATTTTTTTTACTTAATGAACCTCTGCAATAATAGTTATATCGACTATAACTATGTTTATTGTGACATAAAAAGGTTCTAGACTAGGTTAAATACAATAATCGTAGATTAAATTTGAGACCAATACATAAATTTCAACCAACTATATAAAAATTGTTTAGCAAAAAATAAGTGTAAAATTATTTTTATTTAAGTTTTGAAAAATTATAATATGTTTAATAGTATGACCTACCAGTATCAATTGTTTTACTATGTGGACTTGAATGTTGATTAATTTATTATTATTATTTAAAAAATTGTTATTTTCCAGATTATATACAAGATATAGGAGTTAAGATAAATTTAAAATAAGAATTTAAAACAATTTTAATGTTGTAATATCTGTGACTGAATATATCTTTGTTGTGAATACCCCCCCCCCCAGGTTTAATGATAAATCAGTGAAAATCCTAATCAAACTAAATATTGAGTATGTTATTGTTTGTTTGTATACACTTACTTCATTATTTGAGCATAACTCATTGACTCATCAATACCTGGAAATGCTGATACAATGGTTTTCATAATACTGTTACCTAGCCTTATTGTTTCAGATCCATTATCAGGTCCAAATAAAGTTTCGCTTTCACCATGAGTATCAGGGTCAACTTCCTAAGTAACAAATATAAACAATACATTTACAGTTATTCATATCCTATGTTCTAAAATGCTTACCATGGCAAATAAATTGTCCAAACCTTCAACTTTAGTAGGTACTTTGGTGAATCGTTGTCCAAAAGCATCAGATATGTTGTGTGCTGGATCAGTTGATAATAGTAGTACTGTTTCACGGACTTTAGCTAATTGAATGGCCAAACCACAACTGAAATGATAATTTAATAATAAGCACTAATAGCTGATTATAAAATAAGTAAAATTAATGATGCACTTTACTATAATACAATGTTTACCTGACAGTAGTTTTACCAACACCTCCTTTACCACCTACGAAAATCCATTTCAAACTTTCTTGCGCGATTATGTTTTGTAGATTACCTTCAATTTCAACTTCATCAATAAGGTCGTTAAGATCCATTTGTATAAATGTTAAGGAAATCAAAACGGTTTATAAAAAATGGATCGAATTATTTTTCTTAAAAAAGGCTGCAGGTCTAATGCGGAAAATAAATGAAACTCTTGAATGAAGAATTGAATAATAAATTTTACGTGAAAAAAGGGATCGCTGTTCCGTGAGTAGACCACTGACCAACTATTATCAGTTGTTACTTTTAACAAAGAACAAACCCGCTTTTAAGCAGCGTCACAAATGATGATTTTTTTGTTATCAACAAATACGTGGCAGATTGTTATTATATCACAAAATAAGGGACACTAACGCGATCTGGGTGCTCAGTGCTACCTTCAGCCACTTCATATGTTAAGTAACAACTACTAACCTTGAGATAACGAATAGCCCGCGCACGGGGGTAGCAGTCGGCAGACGCAGGATAATATTATGCTGCCATGAACTTTTTTTCAAGAAGCCACAGCTGCCAAATATTGAATTATGGCCCTCAGTACATTTTACTTCTATAAAACTATATTCAAGCAAAGTATTAACAATATAAAGTAAATTGACCGATGTCCACTCATCCGTAGCTCTAAAGTCTAAGTAAAAACTAACGGCTACATACGAACTGAATCCCAACTTCCAATAAACATTTTATGAACGTGACGTGTTCAGTTTTGAAGCATATACCAATTGAGCCCCCTAAAAATTTAAGGGATTTCATTGATTCCTCCAGACCGTGTTTTATACTAAGCGATAAGGTCGACTCCGCCATTGATTCCACCAATACAGGTAGTTTAAATAAAAATAAAATAGGTACTAAATACCTAAATTGTATAGATTAATACATATACATTATACGTACAAAATTATTCCTAAAGTTTATTAATCATAGTATTTATATCTGACTAATGATTAGACAATCTTTATAATTTCATATTTTATATCACAATTTATAACTTATGTTGAATATCAAAATAAATTCTAGAATATGTTTTAAAATGTAATTTCATGTTGTTTATTTTAATTGATTTAATTTGTTCAAACTCCAATAATGTAGGTACATGAGTAATGAAAAATTGAATTTTTTTCATAAGGTTTTAGGGCGTGAGACAGCAGTTGTCAATATTTGGCCCTGCTTTAGTTATGTTACGTATGTTACGTAACGTAAGTTGCGTTCGCAGTGCTCGGACATCCATTAAACTACGGTAAAATAAATTGCGCTGCATCAGTTGAATTATAAAACATATTTCTTTAGTCGTCATCTAGTTTCAAAACCACTTTTAAAAATACAATAAATTGTAAATGATTATAGGTATAAGGCAACGAATAGCATGTATTTGGCAACATTACTTATAAACACCTTTACTGTAGGAGCAAAAGTAATACGAATTGAGTGCCGGATGTAATTCATTCAATAAGGTTAGGTGACCCTGTTCTAGTCGAGTATTTATTGTTTGATCATTGTAAATTTCTTTTAAAAATGTCAAAAATAAATATAGAGAGTATTATATATTGTTGTGCCTATTCTACACAAGTACATAATTTATTAACCAAGAAAACTTCCAGCTGTTCAAACAAACGTAAACAATTTAGGATCATGGTGTATTATGTATAGGTTTTAGGTACACTGTACATAAACCATTTTAATAAGGTTGAATGATAATAATATCGCACCAACTGTGTATTATTATGGTCAATAGTCAATAAATATCGTCAAGAGGACGCTACCCTCCTATCGGTTGTCTCCGTCTAACAAGTACGTAAATATCAAATTTTACGCTCCTCAGATTATGTTAAGCTCCGTTAGTTCAAAATTGGAATGAATTGACCTGTTATTAAATTTAAAGGTAAGATTATAAACGAAGGCTTCTCTATAGGTCTATTTAATTTTAAATCGAGTTTTTAATTTTTTTTTAAATACACAAACAATTTACATTTTAAAGATATACTAGAAAATAAATATCTACCAATAATCTTGTGATCTGTCTTTGCAGATTAGGTTAATAAATAATAATGTATAAAATAGTCAAAATAATATTTGCCGGAACCCATTTTTTATGCGATGTAGAAAAAAAAAATTGAAATGCATCTAATTCGCAGCCTTGTTTATGAGTTACGAACATCTTACGAGAATTATAAATGTTTGGGGCTTCATACGTAGACTTTTCTTATCAACATTAGGATTTTACGAACAAACGAGTTTGAGGACCGCTGATGTACAGCATATAGTGGGTAAGGATCAGAAACCTTAAATGGTATGTGTAGTCACATAGCCCGGCATTTTTCCGTTAGAAGGCAAACCTTTTTTGGCCGCTCCCTGATTTTTGTACCCCCTATCACTCCTTTTCTAGTCACACAAAATATATTTAAAAAATATAGTTACTGCATTACCTGGGGACCCGGAAACTGGCCGGATGGTGAGTTGAGCTGAGTTCATGACGTCATGGTAACGCTCTCCGTGACGCACACATGTATAGGATGACCCCACCCATGAGACATATACATGTCAAAAAGTATAGCTTTTATGCCGATCACGGAGCTCGACGTCACGTCGTACACCGTAGTGAGTTTAGGTCCCGTACTACCAGGATCGTATGCATGCGACTAGTTGCTACTCGATATACCTTCGTTCGTCGGTTTCCACGTCGTAGGCGGCAGTTCACTCAACATCACGATCACAGCATAAGTTCCTGTTACAAATATTCCTATGTCGAACCCGATTTTATTTTATACAGTTTTTCCATCCCTTAGAAATATCCGATTGAGTTAATTCCGTCGAACTCGTTAGTATAGTACTAATATAGTATTCAGAATTCCGCAATTCCACTACTCTAACTATCGCCGACCTAATGCTAGATGACGGCGAGGTGGGCGACTTAGTGGCGACCTCACTATTCACAATGGATGACTATATTATTTTATATTAATTAATCATACTGGACAATTAGTGTGATAAGAATAATGTTATCAGGAATGACGTTTGGTTCCAAACAAATATATTTTAACACGGGATAGTAGAGGAAATATAATATTTTTGATTTACAAAAAATTTAAATCTTAAATGTCATACTTTGAGTTTTCATTTAACTGGAAAAAAAATTAAAATTTCAAACTTAAATAAGAGTTCAATTTCTTTTTTGTTAAATGCATTTTACACACTTATATGGTAGGATTTTTTTTTTTTGAATGTTTGGACTTTTTTATGGATTTACTGTTTATTTTTATAGTTTGATCATAAATTGCTATAGTATTGTTTTATATGAACAGTAATTTACAGTATTGTGATAAAAAAAATAGTAAAAATTTATAGGAAAAAATTATAAGAAAAAATTAAAATAAAATTGTTCCTATTCAATCCAGCCTTAAAATATTTTTGTTTAGGACCAATCTCCATGCCTGATATTGTTTTTTCTTATCAACACTAATAGCTCATAACATTATGTTAATATTTATAAATTCATAATCTGTATATATACTAGCTGATCCCATGCACTTCGTCACTCGTTAAAAATGACATCTCTGTATAAGAAATTTGATGGTGATAATGGGAGCAGTAAATTATCAGGTAGCTAGGTATAGACCTCGCTAGGTGCATACCTATACTACTATCTATATGATCATTTGAATAATAATATGTTTTATTCATATTTCAGTTTTTATTTCGATTGATGGACACACTCCGATGAGCGGCTGTAAGTGCAACTCAGTTTCCTTGGTAGACAATGTGCGAAGATTCGATTTGACGCATGCTTACTGTATGTTAAAACTTGGCAACGAAAAAACTAAAAAAAAATATATTAATTTCCACTAAAATATTAAGAAAATGAGTTATTAATTAAAATAAAAGTTGTGCATAATGTATATAATATATTTTATATAAATTATCCAACGACCCGGCAGGGTCGCGCTAAGTATAAAAAAAAACGCCTTAAAATGAACGCATCGGCAATCACAACGCGCGACAACTGCCGGGTATACTCGTAATTACAGGAAACATCGGAAATCACGAAAAAAAATAGTTGTCCATGCATACCTAATTTCTTGTAGAATAATTTAGTTTGACAATGCACCAATCTTATTGGAAATGTTCCGTAGAAGAGAATGCTGCACTTTTTAATCCGATCTGAACATTATAAATGGAGTTATAGCCAAATATATTATGAATTTTTATGGTAAAAAAAAGAAAATGTTATTCGATAATATCCCCTGCGGCCCGCATGAAGTTTCTCGCCCACTGAGGAAATACACAATATACGCACTGACCGTGCGTGCGTACTTTGTCACAGCGCTTGCGGCGGCGGTGTTTTCAGTTAATACGTAACGGCTCGCGTATATATTCAATTAATGGAAAAAAATAATTAAAACCTTAAATGTTTAATATATATAATAATACATTTATGACATTATAATATTTAATAATAATGATTACAACAACAACAACAATAATAATTATAATAATAACATAAAAAAAATTAGTAATATCCCAACAAAAACACTACGCCAAGCTACGTGTAAAAAAACGCTCAGTATAAAAAAAAATGTTAAAATTCACTGCTTATAAATTGAACTTAGCTGGTGACATTATTTAAAACTCATGAGAATTCATTTCGTATTGAGTATACATGTTATCTTTGAAAATGAGTGATACTAATTAAGTGTTATATAAATTAATTGTTGTAATAATTACTAATTAAGTGTTATAATTTTAAAGTCACCAGCTAAGTTCAATTTATAAGCAGTGAATTTTAACATAAATTATAATAATATATCTATTTCTATAAAGTTTAAATACATAGCTATAAAATGATATCACAACTTTTTGAGGTGGTTATTTTTTATACTGAGCGTTTTTTTTACACGTAATTTGGCGTAGTGGTTTTTGTTGGGGTAAATTGTACACGTTTATACACATATTTTATGGCAATGCGGGCCGCGGGTTTCCAGTAACCTGCAACCTGATTTTGTCGTCAGTCAAATTATGTGTTTTACTTGATATTGTGTATTTTTAACTTGTAACATTCCGAGTATAACAATGAATAATATATAATAGAATAGTTATTATAAAAATAATTCATAATTTATGATCACTTTTCAGTTAATGAACACTGAAGTAAGTATATTTACATTGCATATTCTTCACACGCAGGTATAATTAACATTTTTGAATTAATAAGTATTAATTTAATCTATATATATATAAAAATGGAGCCAAAAATGTATAACAATATATCAATTGTGAACGTCTGGGCCGATTTGGCTCAATTTTTTTTAATTATTCGTAATTTCCAGGAGAATGTTTTTACGAAAAAAATTTTGAAAAAACTTATTAACTACTTTAAAAAAAAAAAATCTTTTTGATGATTTATTTTTTGAGTTTCGGAATGTTTTTTCAAATTGAAAAAGCTACAGCAAGCTGTAGCTTATAAAATTGTCCATATGACATAATTAATCGTTAAAATAGGGCCCCCTGCCAACACCAAAAATAAGGATCAACATGGAGAAATATGTCGTGTATTGAATATTAGGTATTAATATTATGTTGCACTATATAAAGTTAAGTTTAAATTTTGTAATTTGATAATTTTCGTATCGATTTTATTCCGTTCGATTTTATTTATATATAAATACGGCTATAGCCGTAGTATTATCTTTACATAGAAGATAGAACGCAATAGTCGATAGTAGAGATAAAATTTAGGTTTTATCTATATCAGCAGTTCTTAACCTGTGATCCGCGGCCCCCTGGGGGTCCACAAAACTCATGTCGGGGGTCCGCGACAGCCTTACCACCTAACATAAGTTAATACGTGACAAAAGTGCATTATTACAATATTTTTGGATTATTATTTTTGTTTCATATATAATTATAATCTTATATAAATGTGTATATTTTGCTATGTCTACTTCTATAATTTGTAATATAAAATAGTTATTATAATTTTGGTTGTGATAACTTGATATGTTTTGTAAAAAATGGTATTTGACAAAAAATTGGTAGGGGGTTCGCGATTTCTAAAAATATTTCATCAGGGGTCCGTGTTCTACAAAAGGTTAAGAACCACTGATCTATATGATATACGATTATTCGATTATTACGACTTCATTTTCCATTTTCCGTTGTTGGCGTTACCAGAAGAACTGCTCGAGTACAATTGTATAGTTTATTTTATTTTACTAATCTAACAAGACACAATCCTGGATGGTTTATAGATTCACAATTGGATCCGATAGGTCCGACCCGGGGAGTTGCTCAAACAGAGATTTTAAAATTTACGAAGAAAATATTTGTTTATATACGGTTGCTATTGGTTATAGGAGAAATATAAATATGCTTAGTAGAAATGGTTATTTTTTTTTTGTTTCTTAGTTGCCTGTAGTGGTTCATCAGGCGTATCAGGTAATCAGGTATAAGCATTGCATACAATTGAATCCGAGTTATGTTGTCATTTATTTTGCTGTGAATAGTGTATATACTATATAGGTACCTATAATAATAATGTCACAAGCGATATTTTGCAGACGCATATGATGATCTCATATTGAAAACTATACCCTTATTGCCGTTTTTACTTTTTACTCGAATTCAGCTATGAATCATATTATACTAAATGTAATTATGATTTTTTAAATTATATAACATGTTTTTGTGCTCAAAATCTTACCGGCTCCGACGTCCTTAATGGATTGCAAACATACAATTATTTTAACCAAAATGTACCAACCTTTAGTCAATCATACCGACGGGCCTGATAACGTGACAAGACTTCTAAAAACAGATTTGAATTCGTTAATATGTCTACTTAAGATCAATCACAGGCCACTCTTTTTTAAAATGTTGTTCCTAAACTCCTACACATTTTGTCTTAGTATTTAAAATTAACGTAATTTTATAACACGATTATTCGAAACTTAGATTAAATATCTTAAAATGGTGCATGACCAAACTCGAGTAGACATAATAACTAGAAGTTTTCAGAAATCTTATCACTTTAACAAGTCCATCGGTAGGATTGACAAAAAGTGCATACAAATGAGCATAATATATTTAGTTTACCGTTCACACTCGCGTCGAGGTGGTGCCTTGTATGTGAGCTTGAAGGAGTGTTCCACTATTTTATTTACACACAGTCACACACACACACTAATGATCTCTAAAACGCGCCTATTTACTAGACCCGCATGCATATAATTGTCTAAATGAGAATGATGATTAACTTATAAGATTGTTAAAGAGTAAGTTTTAGTATGCAGTATGGAGTAGCCAAAATTTATGAACTGGGGGAATTGTTAAGTCCCACTTAAAAATCTCCACTAAACTCTCCTTCACTGGATTTTTTTTGTGAAATCATGTTTTAAGTATAATATTATAATATAGGCTAAAATAAACACGAATATCATGTTATATAGTCGAAATAGATGCGTGAATTGTTTTCTGTTGTCGTACATTTTTACAGCATATTTTTTCTACGTGTGTATTCGAGATCTATACATTTTTATTTACAACTGTTCACGGTATACGCTATTGTACTTATATTGCTGGAAACTAACAAAGAAGATTTCGTAGTAATGCAGATGGCACGTTCGTGTGTTAGTACCTGCAGATAATCCAGAAAAAGGTCTCCACAGAGACAGTTGCAGCATCCGGTATAATGCGCAGTAAATATTTTCTGTGGTAGGTACCTCATCGAGTACAGTCCACATTTTTAACAACTCGATTTAGCACAGAAAAAATATTGTTATTGTATGCGACGTAGTTAATTTTTTGGCCTCAGCAGTCCGTCTACAAATTGTACACTACAATAGTTTTTCCTAACTTTTTTACCACCACGGACCACTTCGACAATATTTTATAGATCGCGGACCACCTCAATTCTACGAAAACAAGGAAGACCTTTTTTTTGTTGCTTATTAACTAGTATAATACGGTTCCTCAATAAGTCGTAATATTTTTCTTTTTTTAAAAATATAAAGAAAAAATCTTTGGTTCCGCGGACCACCTATGACCGGCCCACGGACCACCGGTTGGGAAACATAGGTCTACAAAGTCCGATATCTTATATAACGAGTGTCGAGTATTGAAGTATATCATACAGTAGTAAGTTAATCACCCCGTATCATATCGGATCACCTTATAGAGCATAGGCTAGCAAAATTAAATTATGTAAGCTTGGCACCAAGACGTGTATATACTCGTAATTATGAGTAACTGTAATATGCATACAGTAATGATTAAATGTATACATTTTTTATATGTAAAAAAAACTGGTAGATTACACCCTTCTACAAAAAATTGATCAAAGGTTTATGATTTGACGTTAACACATTTTTATAAACATCATTTTTTAATTACAATATGTATATATTGTGTATAGTGTATAGAATCATTATCCGTTAGAATCATTTGTAAATATTATTATTATTATCTTACTTATAATTTAGCTACTACAACTATTTAGCACTTGATAACATTAAGTAAAATACAATTTTTTCTTCTTTAAGACACAACAATGTGTGTTGATTTAAGAATTTCATTTTGAGTAAGCAAAAACTACACACAGGCGAAGCCAGTGGTGTTCCTGTGAAACATTTTTGGGTGGAGGGGGCATAAATGAATAACACAATTTTTCATGTTAATTATTTACATTTTTTAAGCTGGACAATGAATTTGCATTATGAGATCAAAAACTTATCGGCCCCCCCCCCCCCAACAGGAACGCCACTGGGTGAAGCCGAGTAATTCAGCCAATTAAACAAAAAGAAGTTTCTTAAGCAATATACTGGCGCACTAAGAAAGGATTTTTCAAAACTCGACCTCTAAGGGGTTTAGAGAGGGAGTTTTTTATATAGCTATAGAATTCATGGGCAACGCCGTACATAATAAATAAAATGAGATCTATAAGACAGATTATATTCATACGCTAACCTACCATATGATAACAATTATACTAAAATAATATTAATATAATATCTACAAAATAATACAAATTAAATTTGAATTGTAATTTTATACAGGTATTTCAAATAATATTTAAAACACAACTAGGTATGTAAGTATATTCAAACAATAATTTTTATTCGGAAAAATTATTTTTCTCCGATTCGGTGGCAGAATCGATAGTTCGTTTTTAGACTACATGTAGGTACTAGCGGAATCGATGCTGGTAAAATCGATTTACCATATACCTATAGGTAGTGTAAAAAGATCAGGCGGAATCTATAAAATTCGATTCAGAACATACAATTTGCGATATTGTGCGTTTACAAAGATACCCCATATGACCAGGGGCAAGACATGCGAATTGGTGCACAAATTCACATGCGCACACATAGTAGAGGCATACCAACCCCCACCCCTCACGATCGACTGTAATAAAAATGATCGCTGCACTGGGATCACCGTCAGTAACGTGATATCGTCCGGCAACTATAGTGTAAACCGACAATTATTCATCTTTACCCATTAATCGTCATCAGGAAGGTTATTTCGTACCAGAGCAAAGATCAAACCATGTTCACCACCAAAACATACGTACACGGACTGATCGTCACCGTACTGCTGATCGGTGCCAGCCAAGGCATAGGTATCGTATATTGATATATATTTTATTTTAAGATATTTTATTTGATGATTAGCTTAATAATAATTAATTAATTACCTTTGTATAATAAAAAGTACTAACGAAAATACAAAAGTTTATACATCTTCCATTTTTTTATTGTCTGAGAAGAATTTCCGTATTTTTTAGTATTTTTCAGAATAATAATAATATGTGCTCGAGACGGTACAAGGTTAGGTTATATATATAATACATTTTTTAATGATTGTTTTTTTTTTTAAACAAAAATCATCTATATCTATATTCATTAAAGATAAATAATAAATAATATATATATCTACTATTATACTACATTGCAGTAGCTAAGTTAGTTACATTTAGAGTTGAATTATTTTCCGATTACTTGGTTTGACGGAAGCCCCTGTAGTTTCATATTGCGCATCATGTCGTCGACAGCAGTTTGCTTCTGCTGCGGATACGGGTATGGGTTAAGCACGATTGGTGATGGGTCTAAAAAAATTTTTTTTTTTTTTTTAATGGCAAAATTTCGTGTTCAATTAGTTTGGTGCGTCCTACTTTTTCGCTGAATCCTACCGCGTATTTGTTTAATACTTCGGTGAGTTTCGCGCGTGTTTCGGCGTCGTTCTCAAATTCTGATTGTGATAAGTCGAGACTAGCGGCGGGTGGTTGTGACTTATCTTTCCAGCATGTCGACGTACGAATGTGCCTACCTATATGAATTGTGTGTGGGGCGTAATCCGAAGAGACTTCGTTATCGACAAGGGAGTCGTGTTCTAGTAACGCGTCTCAATACAAATTGTCTAGAATATAGTTGCTTGAAATTGTATATCGAGTGCACCTATCCTAGCTTCGAATGTGGCGGTGCCACTGGTTATCGCAGTGTGACCATCCGCCATCCGAACTGTGTGTGTTAGTCGGTGAGGGAAGGGGGGGGGGTTGTTTCTCCGTATTTACGGGCTACCGTCAGATGTACGTACGATTTTTGCGCTTGCGAATCTAATAAAGTGGTTACGAAGCCTGACGGGAATCCTAACCGCAGGGGTCGGAATTTTGTCCGGGCGTGTTCGTCTGACATTATTAGTGGTATTGCGAACATGTGAGCGGGGCAACTAGTTCTGAACCGCGACCCGAACTGTTTGGTTGACGGTGTTAACCGCCATGACCACACTGTCCCTATCGGTTGCCTCTGTGCTCACCTGATGCTCTACGCGCGCAGTCTGACCTAAAGCAAAGGTGTGCGAAGTGTGTGTACTTGCGCCCCCGTCACCTGTGCAGGTGAACACCCGTGTCTCTGTTGCCTTTGTCCCTACACCTGCGGCTGCCCCATGAGCCGGTTGTTGGTGAACACACGTGTCACCGGTGAGGTGGGTGTGATCGGTGGTGGTGTAGGTTGAGAGTCTGTAGACGGCTGTTGATAGATGTGGTGACGGACAAAATGTTTATAGTTGGTTGTTTGTGTTGAACTATCGAACTACGCGCGTGGTGATTGCGTAATTTTTTTCCGCCTGTACTACCAAATTTGGATTGAGTTGGGTGTGGGTGGATGAGTCGATGCGAGGGACTAGTCCCGTTCGACTCCCCCTCCGTCTCCCGACCTGGTAGGTCTATGAGGGCACTTGCTGTGCCAATGGAGCTCCCCACAATATTTGCACGGCAACGGTGGTTATTCCGACGAACTAGTAAAAACTTTTTTTTGACCGGGATAGCTTTTTGTGGGGGTCCCCTAATTTTTTGGGTTTGAGAGTCCATTGTTTATAGGGGGAGGGGCTGGTTGGTGACGTCCGTTACCGGGTCCAACATGATGCGACGCAGCTCGCCGAACGTTAGTGGTCGGCGTAGGCGTATATGCGTACAGAAATTGTCGAGCGTTAACCCGGCGATAATACCTACCGATTCCGATTCAGATAGGTCAGTATTTACGGGACGTGCTAGCTGGTTTTTAATGAGCACAAATTCCGTTAGCGATTGTGCGTGTTATTTTGTCGTGTATTGTGGTAACAGAATACAGCCGAAACAGTTTTATAGAGTAACATGAAAAAATAAATGGTATTCGAATTCGATTGCGTCGACGTGGTAGTATAATGCGTATCGTACGACTGCAAATCTTAGAGAGCGAGGCGATCGCCGGCGGGGCCGGTACTTGTCCAGCGACTCATCTTTCCCGTCCCCTCCTGGTGCCTTTGCGCCGCGGAGGGAGAGTCAACAAGTCGCATTGTCATAACCCGTGGTGGTGGACGGTGGTTCACGAGAGCGTAGGCCGGTCGCTGCAGTGCCTGTACTTCGTACTGGCTGCCGTTGCGTACCGTGTCATTACTATCAATTGAAATACAAGTACTTTTCAACGTTTTATGGGCTTTTGGTGATCACAATATTTTTAATTCAATATATGGGCTTATAATGTTTACCTCTTAAGACTTAAGAGGTATTACAAATATATTAATAATTTATTTCAATTTATTTTTTTTAAGAAAAATTATGTCAACGACCAAATACAACAAAGGAATGCTATGCTTCGGAGTCTTATATCGAAGGCTGGGAAAATACGGGGTGGTTTTATGAACCGAAAATGAGAGTGTGCCTACCTTTCTTCACTCGGGATGGCTGGCATGTTTGCCCCCAAAACTATAACGTGCCAAATACCAGAGAAATATGCGAATTCAAATGCGGTAAGTTACGTGACGATGTTTGTTTATTTGTCTGTGTAATGTTAGGGGGGGGGGAAGGGAGAAAGTTAAATATATATTCCATTTGCTTGCTATTTATATTTCGGGATTCGATCACTGCGAAAAAATTATGTAACTTTTATTTTTAGGCTTATTAAGAATCTCTTAGAGGATGGTACACTCGCATGTGTTGTTTCCATCTTACAATTGTACAGCATAGCCAAAACTTTTTTCTGCGGCAACTATACTCCCTTTGTGTTTATAGTAGAATTAATAAAATTCCTTAATGCAAAGGGAAGAACTATATCTATGTTGTTAACTTATTTTTTCGATAGCACTAAGGCCACTAACCAACAATTTTTAAAAACGATCTACACGATTTTATCGACTAACACTATTTATGTACTGAATTTGTTTTGCTTTTATAGGTCAATCGTGTGAGATGATAAATGGTTCTACGGGCATTTGCATGCACAGTGAAATATGCCAAGTATATTATTACTCTCAGTACAGATACCCCCATTATAGTTCATGCGGTGATATGCGCATAAATTGCTGTCCACAAATAACCGACAAGAGATTGTTCCAATATAGTGATCCTACGAAAGACCCTGATGGTATTCTTATCAGTGCAAGACTCAAAACCAATCATCCATCGAGCGCCCAACCAATATATTATAGCTACCATCTTCCAATTGTACATTTGGATGGAAAACTCTACAAGTAGTAATCGTATTCGTACCAGTTGCATTGTTTTTCAGTGTAACGAATAGTTACTTAAGTATTTTCTTTAATTAATAATATCACTATAATTATTATCATTACTTTATATTACACCATTAATAAAAATTTATGTAAATTTGTATCACTCATAATAAACTATTTTTAAGCATAACGACTATTAAGCATTTAGGTAGGTACCTATGTATTATTTTTTTTTTATGATAATGTTGATGTGTTATCAATATCTAAATATTAAACTTTTTAACATACTTTTTTACATCATTGATTATTAGTATCTATATTCAACACATTTTTTGGATGTATATTTTTTTTTTAAAAATTAGGTAGGTACCTATATAATAATAAATCAATTAAATAATAATGTTGACATTTAGTTATTTTATTACCCTCAGCTAATTATTTTCCTTTTAAAATAATATATTTGTTTCAAAGTCGTATAATTTAAAAAGTTAATACAATCGGTAATTGTATATGAGCTCAATGACCTAACTTAACATATAGTTGATCCAAAATGAAAAAAAAATGTCTCTTGGATATTATAAGATTATTCATATTATTTTACTTAATTTATGATTGGTATTTTGTATTTCTGAAATGTCTAGATTTTATTTTTCTAGACTTTTGAGAAATCTCTAAAACAAAAGTTAAAAAAAAAAAACTTTTATTTTATGAATTAGTTTCTCGTTTTGTTTATTACAAATCTTTATATTTTGTGAAATAGGTATTTTAGAAGGTTTTTTTATTGTTTCTAACTATTAGTGAATGACTATTATAGTATAGGTACTAGGTAGGCACTCGAGTACTAGTTATATTGTTTTATAATTTATTTTAGGACTTGATGATGATTATCAGTTCATTAACGTCGATAAAATGTAAGTAGCATATTCAGAATCAACATTTAGGCGTGAATAATATATGAATACATAAAAATATAAAAATATATTTGTAGCTTGAAAGGCTAGAGCTTAATATTTGTATAAGCTCTGTAAAATCAACGTATATAGTACTATACATCAATTAAACACAACATTAATAATTTTTTTATACAGTACAAACTGTTAAAAACTCTATAAATACACAATCTTTGTCTTCTTTTTTTATGTTAAAATATAACACAATTAATGTACAATCAAATGTGATGACGTTGAAGTTTGAACAAAATTGGATGTTTGACCCAACGCAAATACAGGTAAAATGCACAGGAAATATGTAAACCTAACATGTAGGAACCACGAAACTCTTTAAAATCATGTTCACGTAAGAGTTATGAAATTAGTTTGAAGTGGGTCTGCGTTTTAGAGTTATACATTTGTAATACAAGTAAATTATATGCAATTTGTAAATGCCAACATTTATCCACGTCTTATTTTATTAATATATTTTCAAAGTTAAAAAAATTTTTTAAAAATATTTACCTATATAGGCTAATATCTCCCTAGGTCCTAAGATGATTATTTCTCATGTTATTTTTTTACCTTCTATATAAGCAATAGATTTTGAACATTTGTTTTAGCTGTACAATAAATTATTATTGAAATAATTAAATTATAGGTTGGCGTTTTAACTAATATACAAAATTATTCATGCTTTACAAATTACAATTGTTGTTTATTGTGTAAGCTGTTGGTGTTTCTACTAGGACTACAGATTTAATGGTTCTATCTCCCACCAAACAGTTTTTTTCTAAGTTGTACATTTATAAGACAGCGACTACACATGCAGATGTAGTGTTCTCTTAAGCCACCCTCACATTATTCTGTCACCTCTAACAACTTTTTTTTTTGACACCGATAATTTTTGTATTTTTTAATTCATTTTAACAATAGACATTTGACAATCAATGCAAATTGAAAAACTATATAGGAATAATTGAAAAAATTTGTTCGAAAAAAATTATAAAATGAATAAACAATTAACAATTATAAACATTTAACCCACAACAATTATTAATATTTAACTATTAAAATATGTTTGTGTTACTGTTTATCGTATGAAAATATAATAACATAAGTCACTAATCCAGCCGTTTATTGAAAACTTTTTCTATGTATTTCGAGAAAAAATAATAAAAAATATTATTTATTTTATTTACTTTTCTTGCAATGCGCGTGATTAAAAACATTGAAAACTGAATTGTGACGATTTAAAGTTAAACCTACGATTATATTTACTCGTATACCAAATATCCATTTAATAGACATATAGAGTATCTATATAATTTTTTTTTTAAATTTACTGCAATACTCGAGACATTCAGATATGTTAAAGTTTTCAAACTGTAACGTTATATTATAAGTTATAACTTGTTAAAATAAATGCCCATTGCATTTGTGTAACATAAAAAAAATTCTAACAAAGTTACGTAACACGTTACAAAAAGGTAAAGTCGGTACAGTAACGCATAACTTTCGTTATTACCTCCAACACTGAATATAATTACTATGAAATTAAATCTAATAAAATAACATACAAAATAAAAATAAAATAATACATATTAAATAACAAACAACAACTAATAACAAAATACGATATCATTGGAATTTTATGGGTAAATTTTGATTTTAGTATGCTATAATAATATAATTCTTTTTGTTATTCTGTATAATATTTAATAGCGTTTTCGAAGTAATACAACAAAAAACATTTTAGTAAAATAAGTAACGAAGTTACTGCATATCATTATATCATTAGTTGCATATTTCATTTCTAACCCATCGACATCAGAACTATTAGTTTTAACAAAATAAATTTAAAATGTTTGATATTGATACTAATGAATCTCAATTATATTTAATGATTGTTTACCTTTAATAACAATAGTGTTATCACCCGAAAAAATGTATTGAGTTGATATATTATTCATTTATAGGTATGTACATTTTATTGTTATAAATAATTGTTTTCAAATCGAAAATTGTAACAAATTTAATATAATATTTCATATTCTACCTCTATGTAAGGAGCACTATTATTTACTTTGTATTTGTATTTCTTATCCTTTTCTATAAACATTTTGTTTACTTGAATTTATAGAAAACTAAGGTGTTCTCTATAAGTTGCCAACTGTTGCTAATTCAGTTCTATAGGTCAGGTTAGGTGTGGTATTTTTTTCCAATAATTTTTGATCCTAATTTTTTAATTTATGTTTTATATTTTGTAGTTAAAATTAGATAAGAACTCGTGGACGCTGTTTGAGTATTTTTTCTTGGTAGATAGTCTCTTTTAACTTAACATAAAACAATATTTTATTTATTTTACATCATCAATTAGTATAATGGTATAACATTAGGATTGTAAACATACAATTATTAATAAAACCTATTCTAGTGCTATTTCATTGTTCTAACAAAATGTCTTAAAAGCCTCTCATGTTCGTTTTACTGTACATAAATGTTTGATCGGTGACTACTGACTAAACTACGTTTTTGTTGAGGTTTCTATAAATTGGCCTTGGAAATTTACATGATACCCATATACTCCATATTACGCATTACATTTTCACATCGGGAATTTCTGGAAATCCTTCTATGTATGGTTTTTAAGACTTAGGTATTCAACAAATATTATTAGTCAGGAAACGCTCACAAAATTGGAGGTTCACAACAAGGTATACTTATGTTATAGTTAAATAATTTAAATTTAAATATTCAATATTGCTCTTCAATCTCAACATTCTTAACAGTTCATCAAAATACATAATAATAATAAATCAAAATAACATGTCTTTTGTTTACATTAATGTATTAAATTATTTATGTATAAGTCATAAATTAAAACATTTTATAAAACAGATTGCATTTTCCTAAGTCTCAAATTAAAATATTTTGCTAAACAAATTGCATTCTTCTAAGTTGCAAATTAAAATATTTTATAAAACAAACTACATTCTTCTAACTGTTCAGTTTTATTTTGTAATTCATCTTTTTTTTGTACCACATCTTGAAATAGGTATCTTCTCTGCTCTTATAGAATCTGAAAAAATAAAAAATACATTATCACTGTTTAATATATTAGAGAAATGTGTACATTTTAATGACGAGGTAATGCGTGCCTTTTTCTCAGATTTTATTTTAAAATTATAACATCTTATTTTTTTGGATATCAAAGTTGATAATACGAAGTGTGTAGTCCTAAATTGACGGTTCAGATTTCAGAAATCTTGATTTAGAACATTTTTATCATCACAACGATTTGAACTGGTTTACTTGCAAAGCTCCACTTCTCTCTAAAATATAATCTCAATGTACAAAAAAAATGTGTAATATGAATATTTATAAAAAATTAAGACTTATGCTGATATAAAATATATCATAATAGTATAGGTATTAAACGGTTATTGTCCTGAGACTCTACGTAGACTACAAAATTTATTCTAAGATTATTTTTATTATGTACGACACGGTCGTTGCTAGTATTACCTATAAATATGTTGTGTTGATAATAAAATTGGTTACATTTTGTGCTTGAATTAAAACGGAAATTAATTTTTGTTCTTCATTTTTCTTATAAGTTCTAGAACACACAATAAATATTACAATTTATAATTACTGTAATTATTATCTGTATTTTTAAATTTGTACTTTAGGTATTCTCATTGAATTTATCTTGCGTTCTTTTTCGTTGTACAATTTATTGAACTTATTTTGAAGGTATGCTAATCTCCTTTCTTCAGTCATCAATTTAAATTGTAATAATTTATTTTCTTCCTTCAACTTCAAAAGATTTTTGTTTTCAAATCTAAAAAAATGTATATTCATATAGTTGTTACTTAATTATAGCTAATCAAATAGGTATATTATAAAACCTCCTTATTATTAGCAATATTTAACATACATAATAAATAATAATATCAACTTTACTAATTAGTATAATTACATTAATTTTTTATTTTGAAATGACAATTTTCCGATTTGGCTTTTTGCTTCGTTAATATCTTTTGATTGAATTTTGTGATTCAATTCACTTTGAGTCCTAAATTCTGAAATTATGTTTATTAATTCATCGTTTTTTTGTTTAGTATTATTTAACTCTTCTTGCATTCTATGGATTTTTTTCTGAAACTAAATTATTACATACTTCGATGAGCTTATCAAAATAATATTATTTACATAATTTATTAGCAATTAGTTCTTTTCAATACGAAGACATTGTATAATACTAAAATGTTATTTAGTACGAAGATCGTTAGTAATTTATAACTAATTTAATATTTTAAGAATATTGTTTTACCTCTTCAATAGAACTTTTCATCTTGTTTACTTCTAATTGTTGAAGCTTTTTGCATTTACTATTATTTAATAATTGCATTTCGATATTTTCTGTACTTTTTTCTAATTGTTCTGTTTTATTTTGTAACTCATCATTTTTTTGTTCCGCGTCTCGAAATATCTTATTTGCTCTTATTGACTCTGAAAAAAATAAAAATAAACATTAATTTTCATCATTATTTCTTATATTAGACAAATATTTAAATGACTAAGTAATGCTTGCCTTTTTTCATGGATTCTATTTTCAAATTATAATCTTTTATTTTTTTGCACAGCAATGTTGATTGTCTATTTAGTAATTTACATTGATAATCAAAATTATCCTTTTGAATCTATTAAAAAAACACATGATTTTATTATTATTATTTTATGTATCATGCATAATCATTTTCGGATAATCAAAATTAAAAAAAATAATCAAGGAATTATTTAACCACAAATAGTTTGAGGTTTTGTTTTAATTTTACCTCCAGTTTTTGAATTTTCGATTCTTTAGACAAAACTTCTAATTTATCATATATTATTTTATATTTTTGTTCTTCGAGCAACAAGTTTACCGATTTTACTTTTTTTTCAGCAGCTTTTGTGTGATACAAACTTTTAATCACTACGTCTCGATATTTAAGGTGTCTTTCCTCTTGACTTTCTATTTTTAAATGTAGTCTATTACACAAAACAAATAATTTACATTTTATTGTATTTCATGATGTATAAGTATGATATAAGAATAAGACTCTTACGTTTTGATCACTTGTTCTAAAGCAAACAATTTATTTTCATAATGTTTTTCTCTCAGTGAACCTGAAATAAATAATTAATCCAACATTTAATTCGTGACCACAATTTTAGAGTATGTGAACAGGTCACAGGTTCTTTACATTATATCTAAGGCTCGAACTTAAATGCTAAAAAATATACTAAATATCCATGCATTTATACATATAAATACGACAACTTACGCTCTTATATTTTAATCTTAATTTAAGTTTGTATTTATTTTTAGTACTGAAAATGATTTAGTTTATTTTAGATTAAAAAAATATTATTATGATTCCCTGCTCCTCGCGAATACATTAAATGTATAAATAAATAGGTAGGTACTTAGTATTTTAACATAAAATATACATCTGGATTTAAAGTACAAATTGTATTTGGTCATAATACCTAGTAATACAGCCATAAGATTATTAATTTATCTCGAAAAAATGTTTAAATATTATTTCACAATGTTTTTAATATAAATATTATGTTACTAAGTCTTACAGATTATATTAACAACTAATAACCATAAAAAAAAAATTTAGGACATAATTTAATATCGATAATGTAGAATGTAGATGATATATTTATTATGAAATTTACCACATTTTATTTCCGGTTCCGTGTCTTCATCATTTTTACCATATTTTGATTGGTACTGTTGAGTAAAATTTGTATTACTACACTTAATCAACTTTCAATTTATGTATATAGTCACTAAATTATGGTATATATAATATTATACACATATGAGGTAGGTACTATTATAAGAAAAATTCTAATATTCACTTTTTTCAGGTAGTGAAATGCACCACTAGTAGAGAACGAAAATATTTTGATCTCACATACACACGCCTAACCTATCGTTTTATCAATTATTACCACGTTTCTAACGGAGTGATTCCTGGAGATTCTTTATAGATGCCAAATGGCAACGTTACATAATATTCAAAACGTTGGCTAAATTTGGGGCTCTATAATTTTTTTAAACTAATATTATAAAAAAAAAATTGTTCTGCAAAATATAATGTAAATGGGGACAAAGCTAGATCTATGATGAATTTTAAGCAAAAACAATAACCGAACTTAAACCTGCATACACTACTGATACGATCTGATACGATCTACTTATTTTTAAATTAAATTTGTGAACCGTATAAAATAAAAATATTAATAAATAACAAAATAAAAATACTCGTAAATGAATTTCTATATCAGTAGTAAATTAAATACAAAATACACTCATCTTTATAATCAGAATTTAAAATATATTTGGTTAAAAATATTGAAATTACTTTTACTTAAATATAACTACTTTCTGCACACTTTGTTATGATTCTTTCAAACAAAAAAAAATAATTATCTCAAAAGATGGAAAGAATATAAAAAGTTTTCAAAATATTTTATTTCACACAATTTCAATGTATAAGAAAAACAAAATAACAATAAAAATATATATTTTTCATTGTTATCATTGTTTATTTCGTATTTCAAAGAATAATATTTTTTTGAGAATGTACAGGAATCAAGTGTTGAACTTGTTGTTGATTAGTTATAACTTATAAGTATTTAAAGTATAAATGAGCATTAGGTGGAGTGAGGGTGGCTAGATACAACAATTTAAATACTTATAAGTTATACTTATAACTAATTAACAACTCAATAAATTAACGAAACTAAGTTTCAACGAGATTATAACTACAGAAATATCAAAAAACAATAAAATAATAAAGACTAAAATTAAAAATGAGTTAGGTAAATTAGATAAGTATGTAAATATTTCAATTTAAAAATATCCAACAAATTGTGTATTATGTTTAAAATAAATTCAGCATAATATATATTTCGCAAACTAATGCTTGCAGATAAAATTGGCTTTATGTACATTTATAATTATTTATTAACAAATCTTTGCATAGAGTTGTATTGTTTTTAGGATATCAATGATTTAACATTTTAAACAATATTTCAGATCAGAAGAATATTGTGATCCTGTGATAATCGAGTTAGAGTTAAATAAAATAAAAAAATAATTGAACGAAGTAAATATAAGAGAGCTCGGAATTTGTTACATTTTAATGTTAAGAACAGCAATAAAAAGAAAAAAAAACAGAAATACATAATTTATATAATGTATCTATTACCTTTAAGTATTTTAAGTATAAATAAGCAATACTAAGTTAAGTGGATTGGGAACTGGGGAGTTAAAACATTTTAAATATTTATCACTAAAAGTTATAACTAATCAACAAATAGTTAAAAAAATTGAGTATTTACAATCAAAACCCGTTTTATATTTTTTTTAGTTTGCCCTCTCTTTTACTAACTGAAGGGATGCTAAAAAAAAAATAGATAATGGATCTGACGGTTAATACATCTTCCTTGATATGCATATATGAATTTGTTACTTAAAAATTAAAGATTTGAATTTCTAGTAATTCGTTTGGATAATATCTTACGAAAGGGCAATCGAGGTTACTGAATTTTTTCGTCAAACTAAGATTCTGCTTCATACATTCTTCTAATTTACGCTTTATCACAGTTATGTCCTCTCCTGTATATATATACTTCGTTTTTTGTTTCTCCAATTGTTGCTAAAAAATTCATAAGATAAATTATATGCAATATTGGTAAATAGTAAAAGGTAAATGGTAAATGGTAATTTTTAAAATAAAATATTATTTTTTTAATTACAGCAATTTCAATTAATTTCTTATTTTCCGATTGCTCTGCTGCTATTATTCGTTTAAATGCGTTCATTTGTTTGTACAACGAACGTTCATTGGCTTTCATTTCTTCAACTGTTGATGTTAATTCTTCTGATTCATTCTAAATACAAATATTATGACCATTTTAATTTTTGATTATGAAAAATAATTAAAATGTTAAGTAAAATAATCACCAATTTCGATTTCAAACAATTATTTTCATTTAGCAAACTTGAATATTTAGTTATTGACTCTGAACATTCCTTATTCATAGTTTTTATTTTTTTTTCAAGAAATTTTACACGTTCTTCAGAATTTGACAATTTTATCTGTAAATATTAGTTTGCGAATAATATATTATACTTACTTAATTCATTTTAATTATAAATGAATATACGCAATTCGTTGTTTATTTTGAAATTTGAATAGGAACGTAGTTATCTAACTTACTAATGTATTTTCAATCTTAGTACTTAGTATTTTATTGTCTCTTGCTAATCCTGTAATTACAATTTCTTTGGAACGTAATTCATCTTCATGATGATTTATTTGTGCTTTAAGTCCTTTACTCTGAATCTGAAATCGTACACATGTAATACTTGTATTACTTTTTAAAATAGCAAAATTACTTCAAGTTCATCATTCCTAGATTTTGTTTTATCATTTTCAGCTTTTATTCGATCTTTATCCTTAAGTTCTTGGGCATTTTCTAGTTTATATTTTGCGTTAACTTTTTCAAGCTGTTTATTTGCATTCTAAAAATATTTAGGTACCTTATATTTACTTATCGTGAATACAATTTGCATGTGAATTCTGTTATACTATTACCATTAAAGTTATATATCTGTCTGTAGCCTCTTTATATTTTTTCTCCAATTCTTCACGTTTTTCCTTCGACACGTTTATGACCAATGTCATATTTTTTTTATCCGTGTTTAGCTGACTGACGGTTTTATTTAATTCCGTAACTTTTGATTGATATAATGGTAGTTTGACGGTATTATCCTGCAACAATTTATTTACAGATATATTAACTATATACCAATACGTTATTTATGTGATTAATGTAATATAATTCATAAATATGTGCGTGATCTAACTTAATACTTAATAATAGCTACCTACACCCGTTTTCTGAGTCAATTTGTGTGTTATTGAACTACTAATTGTTTATATTATGCTACCAATGAAGTGTTTTATTTACTACATTTTTTCAAATCAAAATATTTTTCTTTTTTTTACAGTAATTTATTTTTGTTTAAATTTCTTGTATTTTTTTATTTAGAAGCAGAATACTCAGCTTAGCATTTTATTTTAGGTACGTGTTTGAATGGAACAACTTCATTTGATTCAACAGTGATTTAAATCATATTAATTATTGTTCAAATTTTGCTACCTACGCTGCGATTTAAATTATAAGTAAGAAATGTCTTAGAAGTATCTACAAATCTATTTTTTGTTGTTCATTGAAGACATAAACAGTAAATATCGGCATCTAGGAATAAAGAACTACTCTCGAAATCACTATTTAAATAAACAGGTACTAACCACAGCTTCTATAAACCTACCTTGTATAACTTTTGTAAATCTGTTTTTTCTTTTTCTTTTCTTGTTATTTCTTCTTTTAACAGTTGGTTAGCTTTTTCAAGTTCCGAGCTTTCATATTTAAATTCATTGAATTCTTTTTTGATCTTGTCTAACTCTAGCTCTAGTATCACAGGATCATAATATACTTCTGGCCTGAAATATTATTTAAAATGTGAAATCTTTGTTATCCTAAAAATATTAATATCACTCAATGCAACGGTTTATGAATAAATAATTAACATCATATAATAAGTGTACATAAATTAAAGTTCTAATACGTTCATAATAAAATGTATATCGTTTACACTTACGACTCTTCCCAAATAGGGATAAATTCTCTTTCAAAATCCATTGTTGAGTATTTTTGTAGACGACTTTATATTACGTAATAAATATCTAATACGATTTTTTATAATTATTCTCAAACTCAGTTATAAAACTTATACAATTAGATACACTATATTATATTATTATAGTGTAGTTTCGTAAAAAATACTAAACTAAGAGTCAAGTTATGTTTCAAACATAACCGTATCCATGGATATATTGTATTTACTTAAAAAAATAATATGAATTCGAATTAAAAGACATCAAACAATGTATAATCATTAAACATTAAAAAATAATACTTTCAACAAATAATACCTAACACTATAATGTGTTTATCACACTTTAAATGCTATTTTAGGATCCGGGTCAAGACTAACATAATATTGTTCATACCTACATTTGTTCATTAGAAAATATTACGAGATTTTTAGCCAAAATATTTTGTGCGTTGAATACTCGATGTTGATGTACAATTTACAATTATATATTATATAATATCTTGTGATTTCCGTAAGCTACAGCGAACAGCTTCGAGCTTAAAAGACAAAGGTCGGTGGTCACGTTATGAAGCGGCATCCTTGACGATAGATACGACGAACATAGATCGAGTGGGTTTAGATTGTCTATAAATTATACAGTAGATAGCTATTATTGAAAAATAATCTACGTGATTTTTTTATAAAAACCACTATGCTGCTATGAAATTCGTATCGGAATCGAATAGAACAGAACAAATTGATGAATTTAAATTAATTTCTAATCTGCTAATTTTATAGTGTATTATAATTTAAAGCATCTGTACTTCATAGTAAATAATTATGTATATTATTACTTATTAAGACGACATTTGGACGGTGACAATTGATCACCTTTGGAAGTATAATATTCGAATGCATTTCTCAATAGGTACGTCCGTTATTTAATAACAAATTAAATAATATGAATAAGCGTATGATTATCGACCAACAACAAAACTCCAAAAAATATTTTAATACTTATTTTAAAACAAATAATTAGGTAACTATATGGCTATACAAATATCATAAATAATATTCCGACTAACTTATGAATTAGTACCTATTAAAGAATTGACACTTATCGCTAGAATGCAATTACCTACCATTTGAAAGTTTTCACTAATTTTGTGCTAATTGTTACTTCAATCTATACTACCTAGTACCTATTTATAATCAACAATATGACTAAATATTAATTTTGAAAATTGTATTCTTACTCAGGTAATTAAACCAATAAAATAGTTTTTAAACTTAAATTGACTGCATAATTATGTATTATCAATTTTAATACCTATTGTCTAAGTTAGTTTTTATTTGAATGATATAAATTCGGAATACCCATAAAAATAAATAAAACCCTTATTACTTAAATTCCTAAAATGTACCTATAGTTTTTTATTGGGTTAATAATTTACCTACTATTTATACTACTACCATTATTCTATAGTTATAGCTAGGAAGCTACTTCCTACTATTATGTTTTGTTTAATGTATAGACAGACATTACTTTTGATTAAACACAGTGGAACGTGTATCATGGTTTTGGTATGAATTTATTTTATCTGCTTGGCAAAACAAAAATATTAGCAAACCTAGAACAGCACATCATTTGCAGAACGATTTAACATTGTTACAACCCAAATAATGTGGAATTTGACTGATGTACAGATCTGACTATATATACATTAAAAGTACCTACCTTTTATACATTATTTTGCCATAATACTATATTTTTATTATCTCGGAATTATTAAGGACCTTTGTCTCAGGCCTATAGAGACTTATTAGCTATGGCTAGATTCCTAATAAGTGGGAAAATAAATCCAGAAAAATGAAACTTAAATAACTTAATTTGAGTACCGATAAAGTCTTTTGTTCTGTAATAAAGAGTTTTGGCAACCTCAATTCTTAACTCTTTTTTTATATCTAGGTGTTTAACTAGTGAACATTGACAAAATATGACGTGTAATATAATCTTTGATTATTTTTAATTTAAAATAACACCTTCTTATGTACAATGATGATCTTATTTGTTTATTAATTACGTATAAGTTTGTAGAGAAGTTACGAAGAACATGAGTGATAAACAACCTTAACAAAACTATCCAAATGTTCAAAAATATCTATTGCATTCAGGAAATTCTTTTTTGTTGTTGTTTATATTTGTTAGTTTGTTAATTTTACATAAGTACAAAGTGATTATTTTGTACTACACTTTTTTCTGTCAATTTGAGCATTTTTTGTTTAAATAATGGGTATGGATCATAAGGTTCATAAAAAAACCAAATCAGAATTCAATAGTAAGTTGGACTTACTCAACAGACTGTAATGGTGTGGAACATCATTACAAGTTTTCATACTTTTATAATTATAATATTACGTATTGAAGTATTATATACTATAACATATATCATAGACGCGAGTGTCATCTTTCATCCATTCTGTAATATCACGGAGTAAAGCTATATATATGTATAACTATTTAGTATTTTGTATAGTAAATAAAATTTATAATAATCGTTCGTCCTGCTTAACATTCGTCAGCCGAACCAGTATCGCTTCACCCACTTACTCCGTGTATTGTTGCTGCCAGGTCATTGGTAAAGTAAAATATTTTGTATTAAATTTTGTTTTACATTTTAAATATACGTTAAATTATGCTCGGTATAAGTGTATAACTAGTTGTCTTGTCGAACATCCAAATCCTCTCGCATTCCCCCGTTTGGTGCAGATCTGTCACTACGGATACACAATTACACACCGTATACCAGTATAGTGAAGACAATAATTTAATTGTTACCACGTAACAAGACAACTAGAATGTCAGTCAAATCATACATTCTCATGAAAGACAATTTGTCTTACACTCTACTGTCTACAGCGAAAATATGGTGTATTAAATTGTATTCACTGAAACATAAGATGCCTACTTAAATAATTTTTTCCTACTTTTATAAAACATTTGATATTTCGATTTAAACTATAAGTTTATCTGAAATATCTGAGAACGTGTATTATGATAAAAATGCTGTTTTATTTAAGTTAACGAAAAAGAAATTAAAATATTTTTTTTTTTGTTCATTAAAATATATTAAAATCTCTTTATAAAATAAAAAAAATGCGTTTAAGTAGACGTCGCTCTGCTGCACATTACATATATTCGTAAAAGAGGTCTAAGAGGTCACTGCAATGGATAGTATTAAATTTGAATTTAATGATATGATACGTAAAACGATTCTGAGCGGAGACGGTATGTCAGTTTTTTTTTATATATTGTTATTACTTATTATTAATATGGTTGCCGGTAAGTTCAATTAATATTATTCTTAAATTATCAGTTATACTGGAAAAATATTAAGTATACCTATGTAAAATCGGACTGTTTTGGAACTAAATTACAACAAAATGATAAACGTTACATTCTTTGTGTTAATATGCAATCTTATCCAAATTTGAATTTAAAATGTCTGTAAATAACAAGTGTATTATATATTTTTTAGATTTTTTTTTTACGGAAAAACTGCTTAAGTGGAACTTTGTTTTAAATTTTCAATCCTTAGCTATAAAAATTGAAAATGTTATACATTTTTAACAATAAAATCATTTTCAATTTTAAATATGATAAATAGTGTTAAAATTAGAGCTTTGAATTCTTATAAAAAAAATCATGCTTATGTATTTTTAATATTTTTCAATTGCTATTGTAACTAGTTATCAAGATTCTTGTATTAAATTTTCATGCTTTTTGATCCAACTAATAAAATTGTATTGAAATTTAGAGAATAAAAATGAAAAAAAAATGAAAATCGAAAATGTCGGTCAACAGCTTAAAACGATTCAAAATATTTTGAAAATTTTGTCAAATATATGAATTGATGAAATAAACATATGGTGTAAATTTCAAGTGTCTACAGTAATTCGTTTTTGAATTACAACAAAACAAGGAAATCGCTAAAAAGAAATCCAATGTTGTAAAACTTTCAACTTCAAATGCTCATAAGAATTTAATTTGACATTCCGGTAGTCATTTTTTTTTTTGATAAAGGTAGGCAAACTTATAATAAGATTTTTATGAATTTCTAACTCAAAATAATTTGCTAATTTTCGTGATTTTTAATTTTGGGCAAAATTCTATGTTTAAACGCTCATAAAAAATTATTGTGGATTTATGCTCAACTTTTTTTTTAATTTCAATTAACAACAACTTACGAGGAACCGTATTGGCCGTATTAGTTATCATCGTATAAGTATTAAGTGGTTATCAAACTTATCTCCTTAAATATTCAAAGGTCTGTAATACACAACGTACAAGGTTGCAGGGCCGTATTTGCCCCGGAAATTATGAGAACATTTGCCAGAAGTGGCCAAATATTGATCTATTTAGGTGGAGGCCGAGCTGTAATCCGGTGTAGTATTGTATCAATAAATATTTTTTTTTTTTGGAAAGAATTTGTACTTTGACACGACCCATGTGAACTTAGCAGCGCTACGATAACGGATAAGCGCTAGCACAGAATATAATTAATATTATTTTAACATAACCACGGTTGTAGATACTAACCATGACTAACCATAACGAATTATTACTAAAAATGTGTTGGGAAAAATCAAAAAGGTGGTTCTATTTTTTGGTGGGGGGGGGCGTAAAATTATGGCTGACCCAGGACGCAAAATTTGTAAATACGGCCCTGCTTGCTTGAGAACTCGCAGCTTCCGTTCGACTTGGTGGACGGTGGCACGCGGGTTGCTCTTTGTGTAGTCTAGAGAATCGAACAGAATGCAACAGGAATGCATGCCGTGATCGTGACGGTCGTCGAACGAACACCGCAGTTACTACAGCCGTCGCCGCCGCCGCCGTCCAAATGGAAACCGAGAAAAGTGCCGATTAGTGCATGAGATCCTGGTACTCCGACCCCACATTTTTTGAATAAGGTTTTTACTGGCGCGATCAACGCGATTTGATTGAAGACCAACAGCCAACAATATTATTAGGTATGCCAACTTT